GCTGAGTGAAAGGAGCCAGTCATACAGGACCACGTGGTCTATGACTCCACTTACAGGAAATGTCCAGAAGATGCAAATCAACAACAGCAGGAATTAGATTCCGATTGCCTGAGGCTGGGCAGGTGGAGGCGGAGTGGGGAGCGACTGTTAACATGTACGGGTTCCTTTTGGGGGCGATGGAAATGTCCTAAAATTGTGGCGATGATTGGACAGCTCTGAGTAGACTAAACTATTCATGGGTGAATTGTGTGCCACCTCAGTAAAGCTGTCAGGAGATAGAGTGAGATAACATAGAGAGGTGCTCAGCACAGTATCTAGTACGTCCTAAATTCTCATGAAAGGACAGTCATTACTATTAACGATGCTACTGCCACCACAATCAAGAACCAGGAAAAGTCCTCCTGTGACTGATGACACAAGAAAACTACATGCCAATTTAGGGGAAACTGACATCTTTATAAAGTTTCATTTTTCCATCCGAAAGGATGGTCTGTCACTCCAATGTGTGTTTTACTTTGGTTCACTTAGGTCATATATGTTTGATCATGTCACTGCTCCCCTGAACATCCTCCCACTTGGTCCACTCTCCACCGCATTTCCAAGTGCAGCGCTTAGTATCATCAGCTTCGTCTTCAAAGATGCCTTCCTTGTCCTCACCACCACCGTTGTCATCACACAGTCTTTGTTGACTGTTGCTCTGCGTTAGGCACTGTGCGTGTGTTTTAACAACTTCATTCATTCTGTCCTCCTGGGAGGTAAGCGCTGCTGTTACTCCTACTCTACAGGTGGAGAAAGTGAGGATTGCAGAGGCCAAGGAATTTGTCCAAGGACACATTTTAGCAACTGGCAGATTTTAAGTCCAGGTCTCTCTGAGCCTAAAGCATGCTCTTAATGGCTAAGTGACTCCCCCTTCTAAGCAGAGTCTGCACATGTGTTTGTATTTATCTGCTTAAATCAACACACACATATTTCAGTGCACAGGAAAGCAAGACGTTACAACCACTTTGACACGATTCTCAGTGTAATAGTTGGTAGGTGTTATGTTCTGTATGAGTCTATTAATACAAAGAAATGATATTTGTAGATGCACCTAGAGTAATTAATGTTGCCTGCCAACTCCTTGCCTCCCAAGACAAATGGCTGGATTTTTGGTTTGTTACAGTTAAAAAAAAACAAAAAAATATTTTTGATGTGTATGATACCATAATGAAGAAGGTATAGTCACTGCTTGTAAATTGAACTTACTAACATAGGCGAAAACATTAATTTTGTAGACATATACTTGATTTTCAACATACTTTATACACAATTCCTGTTGGGATCTTAGAATGTTTCCCAATTCTGGGCTCATTCATTCTCATAATTCTTCATCTCTTTTGGGTCAGGGTCATTTCCTTTCTATGCCAATCCTTTTTGTTCCTCAAGATTTGACATATTGAATGAAGGAAACGAATTCCTAAACACTAAGCTGATAACAGTTGAGGATTAGACACTCGTTATTCTGTTCAAATTTGACTTTTGTTAATTCACTCTAAGGATAACTGGGTCTGGGTCAACCTCTGACTAAAAATTATAAAGAGCAAACGTCATTAAAAGAGAGACTGTGGAAACAACAGAAAAGCGCACTTGCAGGAGAATGTTTGAATAAATTATGGTATGCGTGGTGGTGATCTAGACAGTCGTTAAAAATTATGCACAGGTCTGTGTTTACCGGCATCGAAGAAAGTACACCAGTCATTGTTGTGGGTAAAGCTAGTAGCAAACTAGCCCCTGTAATGGGACCACTCCGCCTCTCCCCTTCTCTCTCCTGCCCTCTGCTCTCTCCCTTTTCTGTCCTGTATCTCTTTCTCTCCGCATATTTAGAACTATATCTTGTGTGAACGTGTGTGTGGGTGTGGACTGCACATAAACCTGTAGATCTGGAAGGAGAGAGAATCTGGACAGTGGCAGTATTCATCATTTTTATTTTCTCCCTTATGCATTTCTGTATCAGTTGAGTTTTCACGGACATACATTCCTTTCAAAATGGTAAAAACAACAGCTTATTTCCCTTAAAAACAATCAGAAAATATATGCGGCTGACATTGGCCCCAGTGGATCAAAGATTTCAACTGTGTTTTAGTTTTCATCGTAAAGGGCAGGAACCGATCCCAACAAATCAAAATCTCGGTGACACTTTGAAAAGATGACATTTAACATGTCGGGACTGAGCTCTTCTTCCACACGCAGAGGTTATGGAACTTTTTAACCATAATTTTTTATTGCTTCAATATCAATATGGATGAATATTTCATCAAAACAGAGTGTAGTTATGCAAGGCGTGCTCCCGCCTGATTAGCTCTGAACCTGCCCCGGGCGCTTTCCCCACTGTGGGGAATTTTGTTATATGGTGGCCCGCCACACTCTCCCGCGGGTCAGGGGGTTAAAGCCACAGAAATATGATTTGGGAATCATCTGAGCTCAGCTTTGTCGGAAAGATAAACAGAAGGATTATCAAAGCCTTTTGACGATATTATTTAAATGCCCAGCCGTGGGAGTGAGGACGGAGAGCAGGGCCAGGAAGTCTAATCGAAACCAAACCTGTAAACACCAGCATGGCATTCATGAAGTAGTGAGGGTTGTAAGTGGCTCCCCCACTCCCCAGAGTTGCATTTACAGATAGGGATCATTTTCAGTTTGGAATTGCTCAAGGCTGCTTCTCCTGGCCCCTCCCTGATCCATTAAACGCTACAAATTAAAATAAATGGCTGCGAATGTTGTTCTTCCTGCGTATTTCATTTGTCACAGCGCCGGAGTGAACGATGACAGCTCCACCGTTTCCTTGAGGGGATTGGGGGCGGCCCTGTGTTTGGGGGGAGTGGGGCCGCCTCCATGCATAGCAAGCACGTCCTCTTCTCTTCAATTTTATGCTCATTTGGGGTGACTCTGAGGAGGACTGACCCCTACCTCCATTGCCAAGCCATTCATCTCTCGGGACCACTGCTGTGTGCAGGATAGGAACACACGCCTCCTTAGGGGACGTGGCTGGTTCCAAAGAGCCTGTGGTCAGTATGTTGCATTCAGGTACAGCTGGTGATAATCAGAAACAAAGTAGTTTCGAAGCTGAAAGTTCCAGCAAAGCTTGTGATATGTCATTTTGTATAAAATTTCCCCCAAAGTCCACACTTCACCGTCCCCGATCCTCCACAGGGAGCCCATGGTTGTGTGGAGAGGCCTGGCTCCGAGCTCTGCTTTCTCACAGCCTGTGTGTGTGTGTGTGTGTGTGTGTGTGTGTTTTCTTTCTCAGGGTTCGCTTCCTTTTCCCACCATCTCAGTTGCTGCAATAAGCCATTTCCCTTCCATGTCATCTCTAAATGGAAACAGAACAAAGAGAACAGGACAAAAGAAATCAGGGAATTTTCCACAGGCACTTTTGATGTACAAGTATAAACAGGAAAGCGATGCCTGGGGAGACCGGAACTGCTTGGTAGACAGCTGTTAAGGCGAGTCGTCCGGAGCTCTGGGGAGAGAGAGTCGTGGTGAATGTGTAGAGGGAGGATGTGCGGGGGAGGAGAGGGTGAGGGAAGAGCCACCTCTTCTCTTGCTATTTTAAGCAACATTCGTACCAGCAGAATGGAGCGTGCATCTATGTATTCAGCTTTTCCAGTGGGAGTTAGCTCCCATACACAGGAACGGACTTTTGGAGGAGTCTGAACACTTCCTCCTGTTCGGTCTTCCTGGTGTGAAGCCCTGGCACTAACTCTAGCTGAAGGCATCGGAGCAGAGCGCTTCCAAGCTGCTCGGGGCAGGGCTGACGGTGATTCGGGGTTGCCAGTGTCTTCACCTGCTGCCGAGTCCAGCCGGGTTTTGACACAGCCTGGTCCTATTTAAGAAGAGCTGGAACATATATCAGGGCCAGCCCCGCATTAGGGCGTCAGTAGTCGTGTATAAGAACCATAATCCTGTTACTCACTTGATTTTTACTGGGAGACGGCAGGGTCTCAGATGTGGTGTTAAATACATTCTAGGAGATCTTGAGCAAGAAACAAACATTTCTGGTCAAAGCAAAGGGTATAAAAATGCAAGAGGAAGAAGGAAAAGGAAGAGAGACTTCTGATGATGCTCTTGGACCTGGGCTTCCTGCTGCCTTCCGCCGACACACTCGAAACCCGGGTCTCCCTACTGCAGGCACAGAGTCTGCCGCACAGATGTAGAACCAGGGCATGTGCTCTTCTCTAAGAGGGCGCGACTGCAGAAGTATCTCCTCCGTGGGACTTCTAAGGTGACTCTTTACCTTAGTGACAGTAAGTTAGCAGCAGCAGGTTGAAGGATGGAGCAATGGTCTATACACTCTGACGTCATAAGCCGGGTGCGGCTGCAGGGCACCTGACCTGTCTCATCTCACTTTGTTCTCACAATAATCCTGCAAGGTAGACATTCCTGCACCTGGTTTACAAATGGAAATGTGAAGAGCCCAAGGAGATGAGGCAGCTTGCCCAAGGCGGCATGTTAGTCAGTTATGAGCCATCCTTCAAACCCATGAATCCACGTTTTATGAAGAGTCTGCGTTGAATCATGAGGTGTGATTTCAGTGTCAGCGAAGTCTGTTGGACTTCCTCCCGTGGCAGCATCCTCTTAATGGACAGTACAGTAAAACTAAGCTGACTTAGAAGAAGACCAATGGATGAAAAAAAAGGTTGGTCAAATCTGGAACATGGCATACCAAACTAAGAGACCAAAGTGGATTCCATTTCGAAAAACAAAGCTGGGTGCTCGCGGCAAGGAACACATTTTCAAGTTAAATACTCGACGAGGAGATTAAATCCACTTCGCTCCTCGGTTGTTTTATTTGACCTAACGCTCTCTGAAGAGCACGAAGGTTGAGTTGTGTCATGAAGTTATGTATTCTTCAAGTGTCAGATTTTTAAATGCCACGGCCTAACCTTTTTAATGCTGTAGAACTTTGTTCCCAGTCAGCTAAGTTCTTCTTTTTCTTCTCCTCTTTTTTTTTCTGTTCACAGGCAGCTGCTGGCCTGGAGCCCCTCTCATAAAGAGCAGGAAGGACCCGAAGCCACAGGCAGGATTAAAGGGCTGATCTAACCCTTAGATCTCAGCTTTAAAGTTGTAATGTACAGTGAATTTGGTTACATGGAAAAGGAAACAGTAATTGTTGAAGTATGTTTTCTTAAGCTACAGAATAATTTTTGAAATGCTTGCCTTTAATCCGTAGACAGGCTCGTGTTTGAGAAAATATTATCTTGCTGCTCAGGGTGAATCTGAGCGTCTGAAACACTGGATCTTGGAGCCACATTTTGTCATTTTTTCAAAAAATGAAAAGATGACTGGCCTCCTAGGATAGGGTTTGAAAGGTTGCTTTTTCTGGCTACTGTAATTCCGCTGCTTCGGTTATGGGCTGTCGGAATGGTTCAATTCCTCGTGCTTCTTACTAAATATTTGAGACAGTGCCCTGGCTGTTTTTTTAAAGGCACCTGTGAGCTCACTGTGATGACTAGCACTCTGTCTAATTGTGGTTGGGCAAGAAGGTGAGGATGGAGAGAGCACGACCTACTCATCAGTAATTAAGTCCTATCTCCCCCCTCCACCCCAGTTCATGCCCCACCCCCCGTTCACCGGTCACCTGGGAAGAACAGGGGTTCCAGGACCCTGGGGGCTCCGCACCTGAATTCTGTCTTTGCTGCTTCCCAGATCTGAGCCCTCATGCAGTTTATTCAACCTTCCAAGCCTCAGTTGTTGTTGGGAGTATTGGATGCTTACAATGATCCTTTATTGGTGAAGTGCTTGACACCCGACACAACGTGCACCTGGTCTAGCACAGCCTGCTGGTCCTGTTGTGACCTGCAGGGCTCTGAGCTTCCGGACAGAGGGAGTGCAAGGGCTCTTTAGAGCAGTCTGCACACTATCGGGAGGGGAGGACCATGCGGTGTTATTACTGTCTGCTTCCAACATACGACAGACTGCCACTTTTGTAAAAGACAATAAAAATAAATTCCCAGAAAAGTGAAATGAGAAAAAACACAGATATACAAAATACGAACTCATTTTTAAAAAGTGACAAACAACACTGTTAAATGCAATGGTGCTTACTCCCAGTTTCTGTTCTCATCTCTTGCCAACAAACATCTGGGTGGTGCTTTGTTATGGCAGACCCAGGAACTAACACAAGGGGGTTATTATTATTCTCTATTGCAAATCAGGAAACAGGCGCAGAGAGGTTAAGTAATTTGCTTTTGGTCACACAGCAAGTGGAAGGGTCAGGATTGGTGCTCAGGCAGTTGGAATTCACTGTTGAAGACCAAGGACACTTGTGTAGGAGAGTGACAAAGAGCATGGAGTCTGGGGCCAGGTTTTGAATCATGACACCTACCGCAAATTTTCCATGGGCAGAGACTGGAGACTGAGACACTGCTTAGGATTCTGCTATGACAAGGGGGATTGAGAAGGATAGACAGGAAAGACTGTGTGGAGTTCAAATTTCCAAAACTTGAAAACTCATTCATTTATACACATAGAAAAAGATGGAATCCTTCCCAGTTGGTTTTACAAACCAGCCTAATCTTGACTCCAAAACCCAATAGTTCAAGAAAGAAAATAGAGAGCACTCTTTCCCCTTTACAATTAAAGATCTCTAAATCCTAAAGAAAATACTAGAAAATCAAATTCAGCACTATGCTGAAAGATAATGCACCATGGCCAATTAAGGCTTATTTTGATAATGCAAGGATAGCTCATTATTTAGAAACTTATTAATATAATTCATCACATGAAATGGCTAAAAAGGGAAAACCATTTGATTAGCTTGGTAAATGCCAGGGAGGTATTTGATAGAACACAAAGAAAACTAGGAATGGAAAGATCCAGTCTTGGCATGATAAGGAAGATTCACCTTAAACTAATAGTCATCTTCATCCCCAACTGTGACAAGCAGAGGCATTCACACAGGACCAGAATCAAAGATTTAAAATATCACTACTTATATTTGATAATGTTTTAGCTAATCCAAGAAGACAAGAAATAGAAATAAGAAATAGAAATAGCAAAAAGGAGCAGACAGAAATAGATAAATACGTAAGAAGAACCTAAAACTTTGCTGAAGCCTATGCAAATAAATGGAGAGAAATCCATATTCCTGGACAAGAATAGTGAGTATTGCATCATTTTCTCTAAAATAATGAAAATATTTAACTCAGGTCCAGTGCTATGAGCTTGGGGACTAAGTGATTCTAACCTGCAGAGAGAAGAGTAGACCAGCCAGCACAGGTGTGCTGGTGGCAGCTGATGCTCTCCCTCAGCAGGACACCCAGAACACACAGCGCCTCTGGGACCTCGAACCACGTCCAGCCTGGCAGTCACCTCCCGCAGGCTCTCGGCACAGACACTGTGGGCTCCAGGCCCCTGCACATGCTGGCACCCCCCTTTCTGCATGCCATTCACCCTGCCACCACTTGGGCTCATCTGTGCCTAAGTGGGGGGCTTCCTGCTGGCCCAGTAACTGGGGAGGGGCCCTCCCCTGTGTCCTTCCCTGTCCTTTCTCTTGCAGTCCTGGGTTCCCTATATTTTATAATTACCATAATTAAGATTTTATTTTTTTCCTTTTTCTCCCCAAAGCCCCCCAGTACATAGTTGTATATTCTTGGTTGTGGGTCCTTCTAGTTGTGGCATGTGGGATGCCACCTCACCGTGGTTTGACGAGCAGTGCCATGTCCGTGCCCAGGATTTGAACCAATGAAACACTGGGCCGCCTGCAGCAAAGCGTGCAAACTCAACCACTGGGCCATGGGGCCAGCCCCTAATTACCATAATTAGATGATTCTTCATATTAAACTTTCCTTGTTTAAATCACCATACAGTTTCTGTCTCCTGATTGTGCCCAGACTAACACAAAGATAAGTGTGTTTTGAAAAAGAAAATAAGGAAGGACTTATGCCACTGATTATTTGTATACTCATAGTCATTAAGATAGAGGGGGAGTGGCAAGAGCATATACTGACAGATCATTGAACAGGATACAAAGTCAAGGACAAGAGCAAATAAGAATAAAGACAGCATTTCAAGGGAGGTAAAGGGTGAATTGGGTAATAACTTGTTTCGGGACAATCATATAATCATTTACAGCAAAATTAATTAATTTAAGTCTCTAATTTATAACTTTCTCTAAATACATTTTAGGTGGATTAAATATTTAAATGTTAAAAATTAAACCAAGGAAACACTAGAACACAATTTTTTTTTACCTTATTTATTTTTAACTTTACAGACATCTTTTTTTTTTTCTTGAGGAAGATTAGCCCTTAGCTAACTGCTGCCAATCCTCTTTTTGCTGAGGAAGACTGGCCCTGAGCTAACATCCATGCCCATCTTCCTCTACTTTCTATGTGGGACACCTGCCACAGCATGGTGTGCCAAGTGGTGCCATGTCCTCACCAGGGATCCAAATTGGTGAACCCCGGGCCGCCAAAGCAGAACGTTCAAACTTTACCACTGTGCCACAGGGCCAGCCCCTAGAACACAATTTTATATGCGTATATATGTATTTCCATGGTAAAGAATACTTTTCCAAGAATAAAAAAGGCAAACCCCTTAAAAGATATTAAGGAAAAAATTGATAGACACCACCATATAAAGATTTAAACTTTTCCACAAAATTAAAGAATTTCAAAAGCAAATTTAAAATACAAATGACAAACAAGGAAAAATATTTTTGACCAAGGTTTAAAATTTTGAATATATAAAGATTTCTTATTAATCTATAAAGTATAGCTGATGTGCCCAATGGAAAAATGGAAAAAAGAATACAGATTCATACAAATACTTAATATTAAAAAAAGACAGTAAATCTCACTAGTAATTAAAGAAATGCAAAAACAAGGGAATTTCATTTTATGTTCATCACATTGTAAAGTCTAAAAATACAATAGCCTATTAATGAGAGCCTACATTAGCACAATCTTTCTGGAAGATAGTTTGGCAATATGTATCAAAATTAAAAATATGCAAACCTTTGACATATGAATTCTACTATGAGGAACTCAGCTTAAGGAAAAAGTCAAAGATAAGTTCAAAAACTCTTAGACAAGGATATTCATTACAGCACTCCTTATAATATTGAAAAACTACAAACAAATTAGACACCCAATGATAAGCGTTGGCTAAATAATGCGCAAAGGCATTGAAGGGAAATCTGTGCAGTAATTATCAATAAAGTCACAGAAGAATCCTTGATGGCAAGTGAAAATGTTCACAGGATATTTTAAATGACAAAAAAGCATATAAGAGCAAATTGCATGTGTATAAATCGTTTGTCCAATTAGGTTAAGGTAACTGTATGGCCAAGATCCAACTGTCAGCACGGAAAGAGTGGGGCTCCCTTCTACAGGTCCTTGTGTTGGTCTGTCTTTTTCAACTGACTTTCCTGGAAGAGGCGGAATCCCGCTGTCTGTCGATGCAGACCAGGGCGTCCTCTGCCTCCTTTCCACAGGGCGTTACGAACACAAGACCCCGTCCTTCAGAAACGAATCCGTGTCTCCCAGGTGGGCGTGCTCCTATCTCTGGCAGCCAAGCCTCACAACCAGGATCACAGACTCCTTCCCTTTTCTGTCCCGACAAGCGTGGCAGAAAGTAGCAGCACATGGAACAATTTGTGGGACCGGTCTCTCAGAGGAACATTATCAAACGGGACGCCAGCAGCGCTTGGTAACAAAACCAAAAGGAGTGGGAGGGAAAAGAGTGTACAGGGTAGCAGAGCCCCTGGAGAACTGTGACCTTGGGAACAGAGTGAAAATGCCAGCTGATAATGAAAACATCTGTCCTTTATGATCCTGTGTTTTTAGAGCTAATTTTTTTTGGGGGGGGGGCGGTGAGGAAGATTGGCCCTGAGCTAACATCTGTGCCAGTCTTCCTCTTTTTGCTTGAGGAAGATTGGCCCTGAGCTAACATCCATGCCAATCCCCCTCTATTTTGTATGTGGGATGCCACCGCAGCAGAGCTTGATGAGCGGTGTGTCGGTCCGCTCCTGGGATCTGAACCTGCAAATGCTGGGCTGCCAAATCCAACTCAGCAAACTTACCCACCATGCCACCAGCCAGCCCCTAGACCTAACTTTAATTGAGAAGTAGTACTAGAGAGCTGAACTGAGCCTGGCACATTCACATTTTGCTATTTTGTAGACAGCATGAAAAAAGTCACTCATCCCAGTAAGGATCGTCTTTACTCCTCATTCTGAGAAAAATAAGTAAATGATAATCTTGGTATCAATCAGGGTCCAAGCAGGAAAAATTTCCTCCCAATGGTTCACTGGAAAATATCAAGAGAGGACTCTCTACAAAGGTGGGCAGGGTTAAGGGAAACAGCACGAGAGATGAGAGACGGGGGCACCGAGGGCCGAGCAGAAGAAAGGAGCATTACCGCCCTAGGCCTGAAGGGTGAGACGAGGAAGGGGAGGCGGAACCCACTGCCGCCCGCCGCCCGCCACCCTGGGGGGGGGGTGAGGTCAGCAGGACAGATGGGATGCAGCCACTGCCCCACCCAAGTGTGCCAAGCTGGGGGAGAGCAGGAAGAAATACCCCAACCCTTCTCTACTCCTGTCCCTGACTCCTGGCTGGTGCCCCAGTGACTGAACCCAACTCAAAACCAGCCAGCAAGGGAGCCTGGGTGGATGCTGCCTCGTGGATCGAGTAATGTCTCCCCAAATTCATGTCCACACACAATCTCAGAACACGACCTTATTCGGAAATAAGAGTCTGTAGATGTACTTAGTTAAGGATCTTGAGAGGTTATCATCCTAGATTTAGGAGGAGCCCTAAATCCAATGACCGTCATCTTTATAAGAAGAAGGGGGATGCCCAGAGATGCACAGAGAAAAAGACCTTGTAAAGACAGCCGCAGAGATTTCAGCAATGCGGCCACAAGCCAAGGAGCACCACAGACTACAGAGAACCACCAGGAGCCGGAAGAGGCAAGGAGGACCCTCCCCGACAGCCTTCAGAGGGAGCACAGCCCTGCCCACACCTTGATTTCAGACGTCTGGCCTCCAGAACCAGGACAGAATAAATTCGGAAAGAGAATTGAAAATATACATCCAGTTAAAAACTTGTGCCAAATAGCCAAAAATTAGAAACCACCCAAGTGTTCATCAATGGACAAATGTATAAACACATGTGGTACATCTACAAAGTGGATTATTATTCAGCCACAAAAAGGGAGGAAATACTGATTCATGCTACATATGGGTGAAAGTTGAAAACATGGCACTAAGCGAAAGAAGCCAGGCACAAAAGGCCACATGCTGTTGTAGGATTCCATTTCTATGAAAAGCCTTGAATAGGCAAATCCATAAAGACAGAGTAGGTTAATGGATGCCGAGGCCTGGGGAGAGATGAAAGGGAGATGATTACTCGTGGATATAAGGATTCTTTCTGTGCTGATGAAAATGTTCCAAAATTAGATATGGGTGATGGCTGCACAACTATGAGAATTTACTAAACCCCACTGAATTATACACTTTAAAAGGTGAATTTTATTGCATATGAGTGATAGCTCAATAAATTCATTTAAACAATTCCAGAACCTTGAAAGTAATTTATTTTCTTGTAATCTTGCCAAGATCTTTGTAAAAAAATCTATATTTTAACAAAATCATTTGGAGGTCTTGGAATTTCCCATGAGAAACAACCCATATTATGTCACTTTACCATATAATTTATATTCTTCTAAGTTGTGTGCTTGTGTTTATTTTCCTGCGGGGTGTCCTCAGTGAGAGGGGTCTCTGTCTTTTTGCACTATGGTCAAATTTCTTCACGTTACATTTATAGAAACATACATTCTTTTTAAACGAACGATGCTCCCCCTCTGGTCTTCGTCTTTTATCTTCTTTTAAATATGTCCTAGCATCTCAATTTTTTTTTTCAAATCACCTCTCAGCAGTGAAATAAAGTATTTTGTTTGTAAACATCAAAGGCTCTTTTTTAAAAATTTCATGCTGCTCACATACCGTAAATCTTTTTTAATACCTCCGGTTTAGAATTAATCAATCAGTGTAATATGATCTATAACATTGCATTATATAAAAGGATTTGATCTCTGGGGCTCTGTAGAAAGGCATAGAATGTTTGTCACCATAAATAGCTATTTATCAAAGGAACATAAATTAAAAATAAAAACTCTGCATGGTCCATAAATGCATGACTCATTTATGAGTGGAAAGAAATCTCCATGATAAGATTTTTTTCTTCAAGGCTAGAATATTTAAAGCTGCATTTCACAATGGAGTTTCATTTACAAGGGTATTTAAAATGTGAAACTATCTGTGGGTGGTTTTAGGCTAAAAAATGTCATATTTTTCTAAAACCTTGACATTGGATTTTATTCAGCCGTCAAATTTACTGGTTGCATGAATAACCGGAGATGTCTCACTTTGGGAGTCCTGATGGATATTTTTGAATCCCTTGCTCCCGAAGCAGGCTCTGTGTGGGACCCTCTCATTTGGGTTCATACCTCTGATCTTTCTGCAGTTCCTCTTAAAGACGGGACTAATTTCAGTAAAAGGATGTGTGCTTTCCATTCTCCCTTCACTAAGTTTTGCTGTCCCTGGGCTAATGGTCCATGTCATTGGAGGAAGGGGGTGATCGTATTGTTTACAGTTCAAATTGGGACCTTCCGAGGAATGAAAGGGATGCTATTCACAACGACACCAGGATGGCAGGAGTGAGCCAGGACTGTTCTGGGAAAACTGGGATGTATAGCCACGCTAGTCCTGGGGAAACCTCCCTGTCAGAACGGTCTCCATGGAAGGTCATGTGACATGTGCCAAGGATTATGCTAACACTTTGCATATGTTGTGTTTCATCCACTTCCCATGACGACCTTATGAAGTGAGCACTATTCACCTTTGCCTGAAGTGAGAAGCCTTATGTAAGTTGTCTGCAGGATCCCACCCCACTGGTCATGCCCTCCTTTAGACACCCCTCACTCTGATTTCCCTCCTGCTTGGCCTCTCTCTCCGTCTCCTTCGCAAGCTCATCCTTCTCTTCATGGCCATTCTTTGATGTTGGGACGGTCTTGCTCTAGACCAGCTCCCGCCACTCTCTCCCGGTTTCTCCAGCCTCGTGGCTTCATGTAACAGCCGTGTGTAGATAACTCACAGTTTTCTATCTCCGGTCTAGATGTCTCTTCTGACTGCCACATCATTAAATATCTGTCTGCTCCTGTGATGCCTCCTTTTGGATGACTTCAAGGGATCTCGAATTCAGCATATTCAGAACTGAATTCATGGTCTTGGCCACCATCTCAGAGAATGGCGCCACCAGCCCCCACCCCTTGTATGAGGAGGAAGTTGGGAAGCATGGGTGACACCTTTTCATTCACACCCCAGAGCCTAGTGCCACCTACAGAACCTCCTAGACAGCCTTCAAATCCAACCACTTTCTCCATTTCCAATGCCATCCCGGATCAGGCTCCTAGCATCCCCCACCGGGACTACTGCAATAACATCCACATCCTCTCAGCTACCCTACGCCTCCAATATACACTCTGCATAACTCCCTCCTGCAGGAAACCCTCCAGAGGACTTCCCTTCTTTTTAAGACAAAGACAGAACTTTATCAATATTGCCTACCAAACTTTGCAAGATCAGGCCTACTCATCCTGGCTATTGTGGATCAGTTTATCCCATCTTCATTCTATCCCAGTTTTCTGGTTGTGTAGATTAGAGAGCTTAAAAACTACATTTCCCAGACTCCTTTGCCCCTGGGGTTCTGGTTAAGCGAGGTGGAGGCCAGCTCCCTGCCTCTTCGCTTGTTTCAGCTGTGCATCCTCTGCTGCGGCGTGCCAGGACCCGTTCTCTGGCTTCCTGGAGGTGTGAGGCCGTTGTTGAGCTTCACACTGGCTGCAGGATCTTGAGGCCAGCTTATTCCCACAGCGGCCTCAGAGGTGAAATCTCCCCAGGGGGATGTTCTGAATTGTCCCAGGGTAAGTGGGAGGGCCAGCACCTGATTCTCTCGTTCGGTCGTTCCAGTGATTTTGGAAGCATCTAAGCTGCTGTATTCAACCCCCTCCTGCATGAGGTACCTGAAGAAGTCTGTCTTCCTCGAGATGGACCCTGGCTGACGCACGCCTCTCCAGGGTCATCTGGCTCCTTGTGCCCCCTCTCCATTTCAGCCTCACCTGTCTTCTTCCAGCTCATCTCGTGCACTGTGTCTCTCCCTGCCTCTGCCTTTTGCATAGGCAGTTCCTTCTGCCTACAATGCTCTTTCCTCCCCTCCTGAACTCCTGCTTATGCTCCATATCTCAGTTCAGTCAGCATTGCCTTCTCGGGGGACCTTTCTTGATGACCTGCTGAGATCACATCAGTCAACCCCCCATCACTGGCCTTCATGGCACCATGTCCCACTCCCGTAGCACTCGTCAGAGTTGCAGCATCTGATCTGTTTGAATGATTGATGGTCTTGCGTCTTCCTCATTGGATTAGCCACCCCTTGAGGACAGGGACAGGGCTTGCTTGCTTTTGTTCACAAGGATAGCCCAGCCCAGGAGGCACTGAGTGAGTTGTTTAGTCAAGCAATAATTCATCAATCAACAAATTTATCTATTTTAATCACTTATTTTGATAATATAATATGTTTAATATTAATTATTTTATTAATATATTAGGTAATGTATTTTATTATGATAATGACTGTTAATTAATGCTTTTAATTAATAAATTTTGAAAATAATTAATTGATTTAATTGATTGATTCTGCCCCAGCCACGGGGCCTCTTCCTGGAACTTGGCAGGCACGCCCTTACCTCGGGGCTTCTTTTTTTTTTTTTAAAGATTAACACCTGGGCTAACAACTGTTGCCTATCTTTTTTTTTTCCGCTTTATCTCCCCAAACCCACTCTGTACACAGCTGTATATCTTAGTTGCATGTCCTTCTCGTTGTGGGATGTGGGACGCTGCCTCAACGTGGCCTGACGAGGGGTGCCACGTCCGCGCCCAGGATCCGAACCCTGGACCGCCGCAGCTGAGCGTGCGAACTTAACCACTCGGCCATGGAGCCGGCCCCTCGGGGCTTCTGCTCCTGTTCTCTCCCCAGAAGGTTCACGCCCTCTCTTCCTTCAGTCTATGGTCAGATGTCACTGCCTGCGAGAATGTCCCTGACTCTAAAATAGCACCCTCTTAGTGCACAGGACTTGTTCCACCTGACACAACACAGCCTCACTAACAGGAACGTGAGCTCCGGGGTAGCAAGCACCTGTTCACTCTGGCTCTACTGTACGTGGCATCACTGGTGCCTGACACCCTCACTCTGACTCGTATGATCCAGTGATCACATTCAGAAACCTGCGCACTGTTACTGCTGGAGGGGTGCTGACGGCCAGCGGTCAGCCAGGGCCTAATTAGTTAGTAGATGTAAAAAGAAGAAAGAAAGAAAGCATTAGCCAAATCTCTCCCCTTTCCTTTTTACTTAGCAGGAGCAAGAATCAGATATGGCCCCCGCTGGTTTCTCAGCCCTCCGCCAATGGGGTGAGCTCCCTTAACTATCTCCAGGGTCTGAGCAGACCTGCAGACCCACCACCTGCCCTGGGGAGGGGTGGCCAAGGCAAGTTCACCTGGAGGCCAGCTCCACCCATACAATGTGGTCACTGCTTCTTCACTTGAGATGACCTGCATCCCACTGAAAGACAGTGATGACAGCCAATAAAATTCTTCCTTTTGTCTTCAGGGCACAAAGAGTCTGTCTTTGTCAATTCTCTAGCAGAGTCACCAACAGTGGGTGAAAATTCTCATGGCACAGGGAAAACACAAAGCCAGCAGTATCACTTTTGTCCTCTTCCCCGTGGTACCTTAAATCCATTACCTGTGGGACTAGAGCAGCCCGGGCTGCTGTTTCATGGGCTCCTGGTGGCAGTTTTCCAGTTCCCTGTGTGCACGGGTGGAGGAAGCATTGCCACGTTGCAAATGGTCAGAGAGCCCAGTGGGCTGCTGGGGTCCCCTGATGTCCCAGCTAGGGAAACGCCGGGCTGGGATTTCGATCCTGGGCATTTAACAAGACGTTTACACTGATGGTGTGTCTTTGCTGTCGGCCCCACTAAGCACAAATTTGGTTTTCTCCACTTCTCTTACCAAGTACAAATCTGAAGCCCTGCAGTTTTCACTTCCTGGGGCTGTCTTAAGAAAGCACACAGCCTGGGCGCTTGAAACAACAGAAATTTATTATCTCGCAGATCTGGAGGCCGAAGCCCGAAAGCCAGGAGTCAGCAGGGTTGGTTCCCTCTGCAGGTTGTGAAGGAGAATCTGTTCCAGGCCTCTCGTCTACCTCCTCAGGCTTTCTCCCACGTCTTCCCATCGTCTTCCCTCTGTATGTGTCTGCTTCTGGGTCCAAGATCCTCCTGTTATATGGACACCAGTCAAACTAGCTGAGGGCCCACCCTAATGACCTCACCTTAACTCGATTCTCTGCAAAGACCCTATTGCCCAACAGGTCACAGTCACGGGTACAGGGGTTAGGACTTCAACATCTTTTGGGGGACACAGTTCAATTCATAACACTTGCATTATTGTTCAATGCCTGTCTCGAGTCATTCATTCATTCATTCTATAAGTACTTCCTGGGTGTTTTGCATTGTTCTAGGTGATTGCGTACGTCAGTGAACACAAGGACAAAATTCTTTGCTGTCATGGAGGTTACATTGTGGTGCATGAGGCAGACATAAGACAACCCAAATAAGGAAGCACAGGGCGATGAGCTTTACAGAGAAGAGTAGAGGAAGCGGGCAGGGACAGCTTCGCTGAGAAATGACATCTGAGTAATGATCTGAGGGACAGAGAGGAAGCCAGCCACGGGGTTTCCAGAGGGAAAAGCAAGTGCGAAGACCTCCAGGCTGAAGTGAGTTTGGAACCAGCAAGGAGGCCTCGGGGTTGAGTGGGGAGAGCAGGGGCCTGTAGTGCTCCCATCTGAGGGGAGACCCGGCAGGGCCTTGTGGCTGGGTAGGGATTTTGGCATTGACTGAGTGAGAGCGAGAACATCGAAGGCTGCTGCACTGAGAAGATAGTGAGTGTGGGGGCAAAGCTGGAGGCCGGGAGCCCAGGCAGGAGGGGAGGCCACGGCTGTGGTCCAGGAAGGAATCAAAGGTGGCTTGGGAGCCTCTCCTGTCTAACTCCACAGACGGTCAGTTTCCCCGAGGTCGTCCGTTGCTGCTTTCTGTTCGTTCGGAGCTGCCGTTGTTCCTAATGCAGCGTGTAACACCCAGCAGGTATGCGACTCTTGGATGACGGTATTTCTTGGATGTTTTCTCTGTGCCGGACCCTGTGGTAACGGCTGGACTGAATGAGGTCTCAGGGTCTGTCGGCATTAGGGAGGGAGGGAGGTAGTGAGCTCAGCCTGGGTGCTCATCCTCTCTGGCGCAGTGACCTGGAATTGCAGGGTGCCCAGAGCCGAGGCCTGCAGGAAGGGGCCATGTTACGGTTACTCCCTGTGAGCTGCCACGGGGTTCTGCCGTGGCCTAGCAGTCCCTGGCCCTGGAGAGGCAGGGCTCACTGGTGCACGGATGGCCTGCAGGGGCCAGGCCCGGGCGCTCTGCTGAGCGCTGTGTGCAGGCTGGCGGTGAGGTGGGTCCTGCCTGCTCACGGGTCTGCTGGAGGAAGAACGCTGGCATCTGGTTTCACCGACCTGTCTTTGATGTAAGTCACTCAACGCTCCCTCGTCCTATAGAAATGCAGAAAGTGAACAAGCATGATTTCTAACTAAGGGCAGACTCTTCACGGGACTGTCACATGTCCCACGCCCTCCTCCTTCATCTAGACATGCAGCTTACCTCCGGAAAGGGAGACCCAGACCTTGTTCTAAGTTACTAAGGAAAAAGGGACCAAAATCTCAGTCTATCGATGCCCCCTGCTCCCCAGGAGAGGAAAACCCGCAAACGAAGGCAGCAGAGGGTGGAACTCCCCATGACGTCCCCGAATAAATGGTGGAAAAGTAGACACATCTCTGCCCTGACAGAGCCACCATCTACTGGGGACATCCATGAAACATTCACATACATTCACGGAGACAGACAACACATGCATGTGCACACACACACATGCACACACACATGCACACACACACATGCACATGTGCACATACACGCACACACAGGTGCACACACACACATGCACACACAGGTGCACACACACAGGTGCACGCACTTAACCACAACGGTGACAGGTGATATAGGGGCACTCTAGAGAGGCAGGGGAACGCTGCACGTGGCAGAAGCCAAACCGAGCCTGCGGAACAGGGTGAGGCGTCACCGGGAGCGCGGCCTGGACTGTGAGCCTCCGCACGTCGGCTGCACCTGTGACGCACAGCGAGGCAGGAAGTTCATTTCGTGGGTTGCCACCAGCACTTTTCACAAAACTAAAGCAAAACAGAAGAGAAAATACGAGAATATCAGAGTGCATATCAGTGTGTGAAACTTTTGTTTTAATTATATCTGTATCCATAAAATTGTGATATAGGGGGCCGGCCCGGTGGCGCAGCGGTTAAGTTCGCACGTTCCGCTTCTCGGCAGCCCGGGGTTCGCAGGTTCGGATCCCCAGTGTGGACATGGCACCGCTTGGCAAATGCCATGGTGTAGTAGGCATCCCACGTATAAAGTGGAGGAGGATGGGCACGGATGTTAGCTCAGGGCCAGTCTTCCTCAGCAAAAAGAGGAGGATTGGCAGTGGTTAGCTCAGGGCTGATCTTCCTCAAACAAAACAAACAAACAAACAAACAAAAAAATTGTGATATAAAATGCTTTTCTGACCATAGGCTGTGGTCAGAAATGTTTGGAAAATGTTGATTTAAGGCATGAATAAGAGAGGCCACAGGGGAAGGGGCAGAAGCAGGACAGGGTGCAGTGGCTGAGGGCCCCGCATGTGTGGGAGCGGACATGCCTCAGTGCATTGAGGGGCCAGAGGGAGGCCAGCATTGCGGGAGCGCACAGAACACGGGGAGGACAGGCCGTGGTGGGAGGTCAGGACAGGGACCTCACGGTGCAGCCCAGCTCCCACGGAGGGACAGTCAGGGTCTCAGGTCTGGTGACCTAAGAGTTGGTCATTGAATGAATGAACACACACGAGACAGAAGAAAAGAGGGAGAGACGAGTGACACAACACACGGGGTTGAGACGCTGACTACCCTTTCCCTGGAGCTGTGGACTTGGTCCTCGGAACCAAATTCCACTCCCACAGCATCCACGTCGGCAGCCAAAACGTCTGCTTTTCCTGGCTGGTGATTTCAGTGCGTAGTTTACCCTCCGTGAGATTATTTTACCCACACAAATCCTCCCCGGCCCAATTTTTTGGGTGTAGATGCTAATTAAAAACTAATTAATGTAATGGCTAGAATAAAAAAACCCTCAGTCTTGACTTTTCCTTTTTAAGAATGTCTCAAATTCAATCATGAAACAGCCACACAACCACCCTTAGTGGTGGCGAAATGACAACTGCGAGGGCAACAAGGACCCTTGTCAAGTGCTTGGTCCCTGTTCCACTGATTCTAAGGCACATTTTCCGTCTCTGAAATCCACACTAGTTTTGCTCTCGATGGCGTCTTAGGATCACCGTGGGCCAGGCAGCAGTTGTGACATAGCTGTCATCACTGACCTCCCAGGATGAAGCCTGGTCACAGCTGCTCGTCTTTTCGCTACTTCATTGACTTACGGACATTGCTAGCGCATTGGGTTTAGTGGTCAAGAAATGTTACCAAAAAGCTACACCCTGATTTGCTTTTGGAAAGTGGGCTTAGATGTGACATCAAAAGGCAAATATTTGCATTCAGAGGAATGACTCCAATTCCACGTTTTCCTTCCAAAGCAACATCCAAGTGCTTTAGGGGATCCAAGAAAAGCGAGGCCCACAAGTAGACGAAGCTGAGCTATGAGCAAAAGGATTAGCTACCACATGTCCCGCAGTGCGACTCACGGCAGAAGCCGTGCCAAATCTCTCTGAGGAGATGAAAGAAACTTCACAGCCAAGAGGGGATGACACAACCGTTTCATGTGTCACATGAGATCACCATTAAGACATGGTGTCATACTTTATCAGGCACGAACTTCTCTTTCTTAGTTGCTATCTCCAAACCAACTTCAAACTTCACAGGGTTAGACATCAGCAATCGTTTATTTCGTCATACAACAAGACGTCGAGACAGGAGAGCCAGGCTGACGCAGCAACTCTGTGATGTTACCAGCACCTGAACCTCCTTCCACCTCCCTGCTCCATTATCCTCAGTCAGTGACTTTCATCTCTATGCTCACCTTGTGGTTGCAAGATGGCTGCCACTGCTCTAGATTTGCATCTATTTCAGGCAAGAAGAAGAAAGAAGATACCAGACAAGACTCAAAGTTAGAAGTTGAGCATTTATGGCAGTATCAGTCTCTGTGACCTTTTGAAATTAAAAAAACAACAGTGGTGGTTAGCATCCTCAGGAGGGGCATAAAGGGCAAGTGACTAGGAGCTGCTTAATGACAGGTTGTAAGAAACTGTTTAGAGTATGAGACTGTAGCAGGACTCAGTTCATTTCCTTGGAGAATAAGGAAGGAAGTCTGGCCCTTTGTATGTATAGCAGGCAAGCATGAGTCCTCGTGCACGAGAAGCAGAGAAGCAGGCCCGGTCACTCCCCAGCAGCCGTGTGCCTTCAGGTACGGAGCAGACTCTCCTCTCAGGGCCTTGCGCCCTCTGACGCTCTACCCCAGGGTCAGTGCGACCCGTTCTCCCACTTCATCTAGAGCTCCGCCCGTGCTTGTCATCGAGCTCGCCTCAATCAGCTGCAGACCTGTCCTTCCACGCTCTGCTGGGCGATGCCAGGCGGGGGCTCTGCCGAGTGGTTCCTCCTTTGCCAGCCGGTCCAGCCAATGAAGCGATGGAGTCAGTGCTGGAGACAGGCTGCTGGGAGGAAGAGGAGCCAGCTCCTCCCGCTTGCTAGCTGTCGCTGTCTGAATCACCAGCAACGGTGCTTCGTCCAGCCGGGGACCCTTCTCCTCACAGGAGCCGTTGGTTCCAGCCCCCGGCTTTTTTTTCACACTCCCAGAGGCAGCCCCAGGCGTGCCAGCAGCAGGGTCTTTTCTGGGGGCTCCTGAGGTGCCAGCACCCACCTTTGGAGCTTCTGGGTGCTGATAACTGCAGCCTCATCCCCTCAATCCCCCAGTCCTAGGACAGCAGTGGCTTCTGCCGCTGTGGTTGCTGGGTTTCGCCATGTCCCCTTTGGCCTCTGTCAGCCTCCAGCACCAGCACCGGTGTTACCACTTCCTGCACTGAGTCCTGCCGGTTGCAATGCCTGCTGCGGTCTCTGTGGCTGTGACCGGACCTAGATGGATAAACCGCTCTCGTGATCCCCCCAGAGAGAGGCCTCCCTTACTGCCCACCTAGAATAATAGCCCATCACCCTCCGTCCTCTCTCAGCTTTGCTTTTTTCACAGCACTTGTCTCAACGTTCCTTATACATACGTGCCTGCTCCCTGAGAGGAAACTTCTCCGGTGTGTTGGCAGCGATGTCCCCAGCCCTTAGTGCAATAGTCAGCATATTGTAGGAGAAAATCACCGTACAGTGAAGGATGAACGATTTTGACCTATGAGAGAGATGCCGCCTGCTCAGGTGGTCGACAAGGAAAGAAGTCCTCCGTCAGTGCCCACGGCCACCAGCAGTCCTGCCCAAGGATCACCAGACCCAGATGTAGAATTCCCTCAGTAACATGTGCGGCTCCATTCGTTTCACTTCTTATTCATTATCAGAAGAAATAATAGTAGTCAATGTTCTGAGTCTGCTTAGGCTCCCATAACAAAATACCATAGATGGGGTGGTGTAAGCAACAGAGACTTATTTCTCACAGTTCTGGAGGCTGGAAGTCTGAGACCAGGGTGCCAGCATGGTCAGTTTCCGGCGAGAACCCTCTTACGGTCTTGCAGACAGCTGGCTTCTCACTGTGTCTTCACTTGGTGGACAGAGACAGGGAGAGCGAGAAAGAGAGACAGACAGGGAGGGAGCATGCTCTCTGGTGTCTGCTCTTCTTCTTATAAGGGCGCTAATCCCATCGTGAGGGCCCCACTCTCACGCCCTCATCTAAACCTCATTACCTTCCAGAGGCCCCTCGTCCAAACACCATCACGCTGACATTGGGGTCAGGGCCTCCATGTATGAAAGGGGGGCGGGGCATGTTTCAATCCAGAGCAGGTTCTCTCTCTCTTTTTCGATGATTTTTGTTGAATGGCACATTCTGTTTTCCTTCCCATTTTTTTCCTTGGTTGTTGCATTGAGTCTATCGGATGCTGTGACCTCTTTATAAAAGGACGTGTCTTAGATCAGATGGCATTTCCCTGCAGATTCAATTAGTTATCTGACAGCAATAGCTGCAAAGAGGCGATACACCAGCCGTTCCCCCCACATTCCTGACTATTCCGCAGAATGGAGTGATTCTGGAGTCCCTTAAAAGCATCAGTACATCACGAGGGTGTAGATGCCCTATTTCCCATGTATCATCTCTTCAGAAAACAGAATCCTTATTAATTGCTCACTTTGCTCTTCTCGATAAAAAAGGATTTTTCTTTTTAATCCTATAGACAGAACATAAAGATATGTGTTCAGTATTGAAGTGGATTATTCAGTATCGTCTTTGAGCAGCCTCCTTTGAAATGATGGGCTTTTAATCATTTCAACCGTTCAGTCCCACAATTGTCTGCGAGGCGGTGAGGATACAAACAGGACAGGGATGTAACCACTGTCCTTTAGGCACTTCCAGTCAATGGCAGCCAAGGTTCGTCACTGTAAGTAACGGAAAGCCACTCTGGCTAATTTAAGCAGAAAAAGGATTTACTAAAAGGATCTTGGCAAACCCGCACAGACAGAAAGTCGAATGGTGGTTGCCAGGGCCTGGAGGAATGGGGAGTGGGGAGTCAGCATTTAACAGGCGTAGAGCTTTGCATGATGAAAAGAGCTCTGGAGATGGATGGTGGTGACGGTTGTCCAACAATGTGAATGTGCTTGATGTCACAGGATGGTTAAGGTGGTAAATCATACGTGACGTGCGTTTTACCACAAATTGATAAAAAGGACGTTGGACAGCAAGTAGGATTTCTAGGACAGCCCGGGCACGAGGCTTGGAGGCACACGCCCAGGGGCACAGCACAGGTTCTGCCACCATCCGTCGGCGGTGCAGCTCACCTGATGACATCATGACTAGTTTTACGTCTGGGGACCGGATGCCTCTGCCGCCCCGTCCCCCTCTGTCCAGGGGCATTCCACAAATTCCCTCCTTCTCTGCATCACTGGCAACAGATTCTGCATCTCCCCTGGGCGCCTCTGGCTGTCAGAGCCTGGGTCACCGGCCTGCAGCCAGCTGCAGGAGCATCCGGGGACGTGTGCCTCCACCACTGTCG